GATCTGAGGATCGTGGTTAAAGACAGCCTGAGCAGGAAAATCTATGACTTATCTCCAGTTACCCAACAAAAAGCTAAAAGTGAAGCTGTGGCTCAAGTAGTAAAGTGTTAACCATGAGCAAATAGCTCAGAGACAGCACCTAGGCCCTAAGTTCAAACCCCAGGACCAGCACAAAAAAAGAATAAAGTGCATATTCCTGAAGATGGCCTAATCACCTTTTCTATCTTTTCCTTCCACCACTCTTGCACATTCTCTAATGTTGTGAAAATCTGTGGTTTTTGGTTGTTGTTGTCATCCCTTTTTATTACACTTGCCTACATTTCCCTGTCTTTCATCTTAAAGTCTTGTCTGTCATTTCTTCATATTTATTAACAGAACCAGTGTCCTTATGACACCTGCATATTTTCTCATATTTACAGCCATGAGTACATTATTCTAGACAGCATAGTATAGTGTAGCTTCCTTTAATGAGGGATTTTATCATCTCTATGACTACTCCAAATCCCAATTCAGAATTGCATCCATAACAGGTAAATAATAAGTAAGCAGATTTATCTGGTCAGCAGTATTGATTTTTCTTTAGTTCACAAATTAAATTTCTTTGTTATCTTAAACCCGTACCTGTACAGCATCTTTTCTTCATAGATCATTTTATGAGACGAGTGGATAAAAGTTTTATGCATTTACTTAAATATTATCTTTCTCATGCCAATAGTTAAAGCAACTCTTCGTTTTGTTTACTTTTATCCCTCTCTTGAAGGCCAGATGATTTTGAGGGTTAATTTTATATGTACAATTAAGACATCTCCTGTTTTAAAATATTTTGGTTGCTAGATGCCTATGCCCGATGTGTAATCCTAGCTGCTTAGTAGGCTGAGATCTAAGGATCACAGTTTAAAATTAGCTATAGCACAAGTCTGTGAGACTCCTATTTCCAATGAACCAGCAAAAAGCCAGAGGTAGAGGTGTGATTCAAGGGGTATAGCAAAGAAGTTAAAGGAGAGTAGACTGGCTGCGAGTTTAAGCCCCAGTACACTTTCTTTCTTTCTTTCTTTCTTTCTTTCCTTCCTTCTCTCTTTCTCTCACATACAAATAATACATAAATAAATAAAAATGTGTCTTTGAGATCATTACATTTCATTTAAGATGATCTTCGTTCCTTAATTCCAAAATTTGTCAGACTTCTATTTAAATTTTAATTATCTCCACTCTTATAAACTGTGTCGCCATGAATGACTTCATTTGTAAGTCAGTATGCATTTGTAAAAGTAAGTTGAGAGGGTTAATTCACAGGTGTGGAATTGCTGGTTGAAGGCAGTGTGTAAATTTACAGTCCTGATAGATTACACCGGTTTGCTTTCCGTGGGATAGTTCAGTGATAATTTACACTCTTGGCAGTGGCAGCAGTATCCTTACCCAAGCGCCCTCTTCAACTTTTTCAATCTTTCCTATCATGAGAAGTGAAAATGGAATCCTACTACAATTTTAATGGCTACTTCACTTATTATAAATAAAGCTGAGTGTTTCAGAGTCACTTCTACTTCCTTTTCTGTGAACTTTCTGTCCACAAATTAATGGTTTGCTGGGTTTTACACAGTAGGAATAATTAACCTATGTTAGTATTGTGAGATGCACATATTTTTTTCACAAAATTTAAAGTGCCTTTTTAGTTTGGTTTTGATAAGGTTTACATTTAGGGTTTTTTTCTTATAGTGACAAAATTTATTACTTTCTAATGGTGTTTAGATTGTAGGTCACAATTGAAAGAACTTTGAAGCAAGAATTGGAGAGAGGCTATGAATTACCGTTACAAACTTCTATAAAGGAGAGGAATTGACACCATTAGGTATCTTGGCTGAGTAAGGGTTTCATAGGACAATTTTCTGATTTATTTTGACCAAGGATTTTGAGTTCTGGCGGACTTAATCAGAAAAGGAAAAACAGGGAGAAAATCCTGGAAAATAATGCTCACAAAATAGACAAAGCCAAGGAAACTGTAAGAGTGGCATCATTATCCCTAGCACTGGTCCTCAAAACAGAATAAACTACCCCTTTCACTGTGCCAGTTCTCTCAGATTGAGGCTGTTATTTGCCTGAGATTAAATCGCAGAAAGAAGCATTCAGGTGGTCACAGAAATTAAAGACAACTGATGCTGTGATCTTAATTTAACTAACGGCTAGTGAGGAAATAGCTAATAGGCAGTTATATTATAAATAATGGTCTTTGTTATATATTTTTATATAAAAGTTTCAACTGTGTTAAAAAAAATAAGATGGCCTGACTTGAAGATGTTTCATATTTTATTTCCTTTAAAAGTATGATTTACTTGAATGATTCGTATCAGTGGTTTTTTTGTGTGTCATAAATGTACTTAATACATGCTGAGATGAGATTGTTTCAAGTCTATCTGTTACAACATTCTTAGTCTGTTGCAGGGACTATAATTGTGCATTTAGCACAGGTTTGTGCAGCATTATTCTGCATCTCTGGTTTCTATGGAAACACACAACATTGACCCGAATTCTCTGAGCTTTTTTTTTTCTCTTCAATATGCGGTTGATTTCATAATGAAAAAGCCTCAGATAGTATGAATCCAGCTTTATTCCAGTCATGGTTTTCCTATAATGTGGCATATGCATCCTTATACTAGGCAGTAATGTCCAGTTTATGGAGACAAAGGGATTGGGCCATAGTGCTCAAAAAGTTTATACTTAATAAAAAGTGACATGGTTTTTTGCACATGTTAAATGATTTTTTTTCTTAAAAAAAAGTCATTAAATACCATGTCAAATTTGACACTTTACCTTTAAAAGACTGGAGGGTACTGATGAAGTTCTTCTTAGAAGTGCTCAGCCTGTGAGCTGAGTGGGACAGAGATGATGTGAAATCAATGGAAAGTTCGATCACCACTTGTGGATGAGCACTGCTGCCCATGATCCTGAAATGACCTGAGGTCTTGAAGTCTTCTAAGTGCAGTGCTTGCGTCTTGTATATTCCTAGCAGCTCAGATCAACCCACTGATTTTCATGGAGGAAAGTCACATTTTTATGTCTAAATTGTTCCCAAATATGTTGGTTATGTTTTTACATTTACATTTTAAAAACAAGCATTCTAGCAAAACTGATTTTACTAGAGCAATTCAATATTTGAGAGAAAAATGTAAATTAGGAAAAATAACCATTATATTAACCTCATAATATTAAGTAAATAATTTTGGAGGGATTTTTTCTTACAAATTAGTACTATTTTCTGTTCACACTTAGCCATTTTAATATATATGTTACACTGAGATAGTATCTCCACTTGAATGGTTTAGAACTTAGATGCCCGTCAGCAAGAAAATGGAATAAGACTGAACTGAGCTTTATTGAACTCACTATTGGAGGTCACTTGGAGGTTTAAATAAATTTTAACTGTGTGTTATTCAGTCATATAAAATAATATTACTAAGATAACTGCTCAATATAGATGATCCTTTAAAACATTCTGCTAAGTAAAATCAGACTCAAAGATAGTGTAATTTCTCCATGTATATGGAAAATTCTTTTTATATTTTTTATTGTGTTAGTAAAGTTGAGGTACAAAGGGCTTTCAATTGCATAAGTCAGGTAATGAATACATTTCTTTTTCAATAATATCACCTCTTTCTTCATTTTCTCCCAGTTTTTCCCTCCTGACCACTCCCACAAGTTATATATCTCATTTTCAACATAGTGTCTAGTGAGTATCACTGCTACATTTGTTTATGCTTTGTCTTAACATTTCTGTGCTCTACCTTACCCTCCCCCAAACAGATAAACTTACATAAAAAACCAAAGGTACAGAAAACAAAAATAGTGACAAAGGAGAAAAGATGCAAAAAAAAAAAAAAAGAAAGAAAGAAAGAAAGAAAACCTCTTGTTTCCATTTCTTGGAGTTCATTTTGATAACTAGCTATGTGCATATGATCATAAAAATGATGTTTATCATTGATGTTTATCAAAATGAACTCCAAGAAATGGAAAATTCTTTTTTTTTTTGGAAAATTCTTAAAAACAGAATAGAGATAGCCAGGGACTAAAGAGAAGAGAAGAGAGAACTTGTCTAATGGGTACAGTTAATGCTTGCAATGAGGTAAATCTTTTAGAAATAGGAAATGGTTGAATGCTTGTGCAACACTGTGAATATATTTTTATTCTACTGAATTGCAACACTGAATGGTTATGATGGCAAATTTTATGTTGTATATATTACTGCCATTTAAAAGTCAGTTTTAATTTATTTCTAGTACTTAAACTTTCAGTATTGCCTCATATACTACTAAGTGCACAGAAAAACTACAAATATTTGTAAACAGTTATCAAAATTAGGCACATGAGTAGTTTGTTTTGCTGAAATTTGTGGTTGAAGTTAGATGCTTCTTATAATATCTAAGCATTGCAGCCACTGTTCTGTAATTTCACTGGCAAAGTGCTTACTTAGTATATAATAGAGGCCCATGATTTGATCCTAGGCACCACACATACACACAAACAGATACACACACACATGTGCACATGTGTGCACACAACACATACACAAAGAAGGAAAAATATATTATTTTTAATTTCTCATTTATGAATAGTAGATTAACAGTTTTCACATTTGAATAACAAATATTTTTCCTTACTGTTGTAGAATTCCTGAAATGTTCTTGACTCTAATATTGAGGGGGTAACACTGTTGCACAAGAAATACTCATTACCTTATTTATGTAACTGTAACCCCTCTGTACATCACCTTTACAATAAAATAAAATAAATTTTAAAAATAAAAACAAATTTAAGTATCCCTCAAGTGATTTGAATAAATTCAGTCTGAATAAATTGATTTCTAAGAGTCAGAATAATTGAGTAGTATTACTATAATGTATCAGAGATCATTTTTTTTCTATTCAAGAAAGTTTTACAAACAAACATTTCTAATTTCATGTGATAAAATCTTTATGCATCTCAGAAGACTCATCCAATTTTTTTTTCAGGTTGCAACAAGGATAATGTCAGAGCTGGCTGTAAAAAATGTGGCTACCGTAAGTACACATTGTCTATAAAGTTTGTGAATTCTAAAAAAAACAAAAAAAATCATTCTACTTTCTTTTATTTATAATGAGTCCCTTTCAACCAACTCTGTTTATTTATGTGTTTGTTTGTGCATACCAGTCTTCTAGCTTCAATTCAGCCTGGCACTGTCCATGGTTTGTTTGTTTTTTTCCTCAAGGCTGTGCTCTACCACTTGAGCCACAATGCTGCCTCAGGCTTATTATTTTTATTTATTTATTTATCTGGCCAACACTGAGTTTATACTAATAATTTGATCTCTCTATATATAACGTATTTGTTATTGTAAAACTGTTTAGGGGGACTAAGAAGGGATAGAAGAGAATGTTAAGGAGTAACCAATAGCAAAATATATTTCATCTGGGAATGCAAATGGGAAAACAAAACTTACTGACTGTTGAATAATCCAAGGTTAGGAGGACTGGGCAAAGTGAGGCGTTCAATTTGATTACATTAAAGATATATTAAAGTATATACATGTTTGAAATACCATACAGAACAATTGTCATATACTTAAAAAAAATGTCAAGAAGAGTAGTACCAAGAGGGAGTGGGAGAACAGAGGTGGTGAAGGAAAGTTCATGTGGTTGGAATACTTTCTGTACATGTCTAAAAATTGAACAATGAAATTTATTGAGATTGGTTTCAAAAGGAGGAGAGTGGGTGAATGTGATCAAACTACAGTGTATGCATATCTGGACATGTCAGAATTAAACCCTCTTGTACAACTAATTGATGCTAATTTTTTTTAAAAAAAAGACTCAATAGACTTCTTAATACTTTGAAGAAGCCCCACCACTAGTCAGTCCTACAGATGGGAGGATGTAGGAGAGGCTGAAGTTCATTTCAGTTACCCCTAAACTACAAGGTTCAGAGAGTATCTTGTTTGTGAAGGTTTCGAAGTCTACGAGTTTGGTGATATGGGACCCTATGTTTCATGGACTTCAGTCTATTTTGAGTTACCTTTTGCATGTATCCACCTTTCAATCTTCTGTATGTAGAGAACCAATGTCCCTCAACTATCTGTTGAAGAAGTTAGTCTTTTTCAATTGAGAGGTCTTCACACTCTTGTCCACATTAGATTGAATACTACTGATATTTAGCTTTTCTCAAAGAAATGATAGTATCATATGATACAATTTCATAGGATTCATAACAGTTAGAGCAGTGGGAGTGGAACAATTTTTACTTTAATACTTGGACAAGAACAATTAAGTAAAAAGATGAAAAATTAATTATCTCAAATGTGTTTACTAATAGCTCAATATGTATAACAAAAACTGAATTATAAGGAAAAGTAGATAAATCAATAACATATTCTAAGTACCTCTGTCAAGTATTTAAACAACAAAATATACATTACCATTCTCAGCAAATAGTGTATATCCTTATGAAATGCTTACCAACTCTCCCCTAAATTCACTATATACCAAGCCACAAAAGGAATCTTATCAGTCACCAGAGCGTACATACTAATTGTATTCTCAGATAACAGTGTAATAAATTTTGAATTCAACAATAAGAATAAGATCTGAAAATTCTATGTTTGGAAACAAAAAGCATTTGTAAAACTTATAAATGATGCATTTGGAAGGATTTTACAGACTAGCTGACTGAGTCCTTCTGCTCTACTGAGATGGAAACTCCTCCAGCTACTTCAGCCCTTGGCAGTTATTTGCTACAGAAGCAGTAGATGACTCTGAGCTCCAGGCCTTTAACAGAAAGACAAATTCTATGCCTTGGGGATAGTTGTAGGCTTTGACAGCCATGGCTGCAGCACATGGTTGCAGGCATTAAGGCTCAAGCTGAAGCCCCACTGTTACTACTTTCTAAGACTCTGGCATGAGACTTCTCAGTTGCTGATCTTGGCCAGCATGTCAGTTTCGCTGTCAGCACGCTTGTGTTTGTTCCTGTCAGTTCTTCCCTCAGGTACTTATGACTGTCCTACCCACGTGGATAAGTTATAAGTATTGGTTATATTCTTTTCTGTATGTGTTGGTGTTGTATTCTATTTCTTATCAAGCTTTTTTATTAGCATGAATTAGTTGTACAGACATAGTGTCTTTATATTCCTATACATGCATACCATGTGCCCATTAGCTCTCCCTCTCCATCACACTCCAATATATATCATTCCCTCTTAAAATAATTTCAACAGTTTTCATTGTTCTACTTTCATACATGCATATAAAGTACTTCAAACATATTTATCCTCATTCATCTTCCCCTTTTGCTTTGCCTCTTCCCACTGATACCTGCCCATGGTAGAGTTGATTTTACTTTGTTATTCATTTTTTAATACTATGAGTGTACTACAGGATTCACCATGACATTTCACATGTGCATGTATTATATTTTAATCAGGTTAGTCTCCTATATTGCTCTCTAGATTTTTTTAAAATTATAATAGTAATGTATTTTTAGAAGGGGAAAATATAATTCATATTCTGAAATGTATAAGTACTCCCCAAAATATTTATTGAATTAGAAGTTTCAGGAAGAAATTCTCTTGTAGTACTGTGTTTGGGGGGGATATATATATGTGTATATATATATATATTAAAAGTAACCAACTCTTTAAAAGTTAAAACTTTAACTCTTGAAATGAATTGTTTTCTGCTATTCAAAAAAAATACAAAGTGAATCTATAGTTATGTCATTCTATTTTTTTAAATTCAGCTGGTCATCTGACCTTTGAATGCCGCAATTTTCTTCGAGTAGACCCCAAACGGGACATAGTGCTCGATGTCAGCAGTACAAGCAGTGAAGACAGTGATGAAGAGAATGAAGAACTAAATAAATTGCAAGCATTACAAGAGAAAAGTGAGCAATATGTTTTTTTACTCCATTTGCTAAACATATTTCTAAATGTTCCACTTTTTAATCTTATTTTTATATTGCATTTATCATTAAGATGTCTTTTCTGTTCTGTGTATAAGTTTCTGCACAGGTGAGAAATAGGCTGTAATAGACCAAGTAATTTGCCTAAGATCAAACACTGCTCAGCAGCAGGCCAACTGTTTCAGATTCCATAGACCATGTTTCTTTCCTGCCTCCCATTGTATCTGGATTTTGATAGACCAAAGATTAGATTGTCAAGTCACAATAACCAGCAATCTTACCTAGTACCAAGCACTTTCTATCCACTTCAAGACCAATTGGTCAATTTAACAGATGTTCCTACATTATTTTAAACATATACAAAAAAAGATCAGTCATGAAACATTTCTATTTTATGCCACATCTTGTGTATAAAATGGCTTATTCTTGCAATGGGATCAAATTTGGTGCTATAATTTTATAAACTACATAATTCCATATATTTCATATGGAGGTTTCTCACAGAAGTAAAATAAAACCTATTTGTTTGTTTGTTTGTTTTTGTCGGTCCTGGGGCTTGAACTCTGGGCCTGGGCGCTGTCCCTCAACTCTTCAGCTCAAGGCAAGCGCTCTACCACTTGAGCTACAGCGCCACTTCCATAAAACCTATTTGAATACAGCTTCAGGTATGGGATGAGAGACTTTTAACAGTTAAGCTCCATTTTATTTTAGTTGATCAGAAAACATTAAACAATGAACTTAAAAAAATGTTTATTTTCCATATTAGTTCCAATTAAGAAGAAATCAAATATCAGGTACTGGGACAAGTTGAAAACAAAGAAGAAAGAAAGGGTCTCAAAGACAGCAAATGAAAATCATGTTATTTATGATAATTCAGTTGGTTGAATTCATACATGTACTTTTGCTTCTGTTATGCCTTGGTTATAAAGGATTCCCCCAAAAGCTCAAACGTTGCAGGTTTGATTCCCAGTTTATCTGTGTTCACTAGGGGCTTTGGAGAAGTGAGTGGATCATAAGGACTCTGATTTCATCAATGGATTTACCCACTGATAGATTCAAAATACGAATAGGTAATAGGAAAGGAGCTGTGGAATGTAGGGCCTGATCCTGATCTGAGAAAGTGGATCACTAGGAGAATATTCTTCAGGACTACCCATATCTCATCCTAGGCTTCTGTTCTGTCTGCTCTACAAAATGTTCCATCACTGCCTTCTCCATGATATTTTGCCTTGCCATGGCCCAGAAACAATAATGCCACCAGTGGACTAAAACTTCCAAAACCATAATTCACAATAAATCCATCCTCCTTCTAAAATGTTTCTCAGGTATTTGTTAACTGCCAAAAAGTCTGATTAACACAACTCTCTACTGCAATATCACTAAAATGACAGTAAACAAGAGCAAAATAATAATTTCTTGTTATTGTTAAAAGCATAAAACATTAAGATCAGAAACAATGGCAGTAAAATTGTAGAAACAGAAAAGGAGATTGATTAGTGATAATTCTTTGCACAATCCTTTGGCCTTGCTAGTTTACCATTAAAGTCTAGTGTTGTAAGCATCACTTGCTTAGTGCTTCCAGTCAATATTTTGGGCAATCAAGAGTTACATTTTTTAAAGAGAAGAATCACATATGAAACCTGGGCACCTGGGCATAGGTCACATAGCAGTGATACATATTGAAAAATCTACCTTGGGCATTTTTGTCATACTGTGAACTATATAACTTGTACTCAGGAAAGCCTATGTGGTAGAGCCTACTACACATGTAGGCTATATGGTAGGACAATTCAGTCCTTCATTGGCTACATCATCATAATGTGGCCCATGACTGTATAGAAACTAGCAAGCAAAAGAGCTCCACTTGAAACATTCAGACTGCATGGAGAAGAAAAAAAAAGACATTCAAGGACAAAAAAGAACTTGTAGACATTAAAAATGACATGAGAAAATTGATTGAGTTGGAATAAAACTGAAGCAAAAAGAGAGAGGGGGAAAAAGATGAATGGAGTATCAGTTTAGGAAATGTTGCATTCAAATGAATCCTAGGAAGAAAAAGGTTTTAGATTAAAAACTTCTACAGTACCAGTTCAGTGATAAAATATAGACCCACACAAAGTCCATATTTTTGAAAGTTCATTTCATAGAAAACAAGAAAAAGTACAATTCAAGCTGTAGAGTTAGGAGTTAAACAGGGGTCATCAATGAAAGGTCAAAATGCTTTATGCTTCATAGCAGCATTAGACATTAGTAAGATATAGGTAATGCCTTTGGATTTTTTGAAGGAAGATTATGTGTGAATTACTATGGTTTTTCCAACAAAAGTAACCAGATGTAAAAATAAAATAGTAGTTCTTTCAAAATTTCAGTATCAAAATAACCTTTAAAGCTTTTTCTCAATGTAGTATCAGGAATAAATATGGAATAAGCTTTAATATAAAGGTGTAGACCAGCCAGGTTCCAGTTGCTCGCATTTGTTATTCTAGCTGCTCAGGAGGCAGAGGACTGGAGGGTCTTGGTTTGAAGCCAGCCTTGGCAGAAAAGTCTGTGTTCAATTGTCCAACAAAATACTGGACTGTAAGCTGTGCCTCAAGTAGCAAGGGTGCCAACCAAAGTGCCAACCAAGAGTGCCACGATCAAAAAAGCTGAGCAAGTGCACAAGGCTCCAAGTTCAAGCCCTGAACTAGCACAGGAGAAAAAAGGGGATTGATAGAAAGGAAGTAGACCAAGATAAAAAATACATGGATTGAAAGTAGAAAAGAATGCAAAGAATAGGAAGGCAATATCTATGATACTGTAGATCATTTCTTGAGTATTTTATTCCTCTTCTACTTTTTTTTTTTTTTACCCAGTACTGAAGTTTGAGTTCAAAGCCCAAGTCAGCTCAGCTTGCTTGCTTTGCTGGGACCCTTACCACTTGAGCCATGCCACTAGTCTGGATTTTTGCTGGTTATTTAGGAGATAGAGTCATGAGAACTTTTCAGTATAGGCTAGCTTGAAATCGCAGTCCTCCAGATCTCAACCTCCTGAGTAGGTAGGGTTATAGGTATGAACCACTGGTTCATGGGAGTGATTTGTCATTGTTGTTTTAATACTATTTTAAGTGGGGTTATTTTCTTGAATACCTTTTATAGATAACTCCTTGTTAGGTACGGATAGGAACACACCTTATTTTTACATGTTGATTTTGTATCTTGCATCTTGACTGAAGTCACTTATTTAAACCAGTTTTTTTTTTCTGAAACTTTCAGAGTTTTTTTCATACAAGATTATGTCATCTGCAAAGAGATATTTTTCTTCTTTCTTTCCAATTTAGATGCCTTTTCTTTCCTAATGGCTCTGATGAGGGCTTTCAGTACTATGCTGAATAGAAAGTATCATGTCATTTTTAATGTCCACAAGTTCTTTACCTTAAAAGAAAAGCTTTGAACTTTCCATCATTATTATGGTGCTAGTTATGGGCTCGTCATATATACCCTTTATCAAAACAACATATATTCCTTTATAATTGACTTGTTCATTTACTGTCAAATGCTTTTTTCTATGCCTGTTGAGATGATTATTTGCTTTATATACCGTTCATTCTGTTGAGATGATTATTTGGTTTATATATCCTTCATTCTGTTCATGTTGTGTAGTATATTCATTGATTTACATAAATGTGACTATCTTTGCATTGCAGAAATAAATCCCACTTGATAGCTGTATGCAATCTTAATATTCTGTTGTATTCCGTTCGGTACCATTTTGTTGGGGATTAATGCATACATGTTTATCATGCATAATGGCCTATAATTTTGTTTTCTTGTGGTGCCTTATTTAGCATTTTAATTAGGGTAATGGTAGCCTTATAAATGAGTTTTGACATTTTCACTTGGCTTAATTATTTGGAAGTATTTGAGAAGAACAGCTTTAGCGCTGCCTTAAATGTGTGATAGAGTTCACTGGAGAAGTCATCTGGTTTTATACTTTTCTATATTGAGAGGGTTTTGATTACTGACCCAATCTCTTTACTTTTTACTAGTTTGCTCATATTTTCCATTTCTTCATGAATCAATTTTAGCAAATTATGTTTCTAGAAATTCATCCCTTTTTTTCTAGGTAGGTCAAAAGCTATTGGAATAGAAATAATCCTTTATAGCCGGTGCCAGTGGCTCACACCTGTAATCCTAGCTACTCAGGAGTCTGAGATCTCAGGATCTCAGTTGAAAGCCATCAGGAAAGTCGTGAGATTCTTTTCTCTAAACACCAGAAAACCGGAAGTGGTGCTGTGGCTCAAGAGGTAAAGCACTCACCTTGAGCTGAAGAGCTCAGGAACAGCACCTAGGCCCAGAGTGCAAATTGCAGGCTAATCTGGACTACATAAGGAGTTCTGTTCTTTAATCTTTTTTTAAAAAGACTTTTCATTTCTTTTCTCCTCTAATCTTTTATTTCCTTCACCTAATGAGGCCGGTCTTTTTGACTGAATTTGTTGGTATTTGGATTTTTCTTTTTGTTCCCAGTTCGTGTGTATGTGTTGTGTGTGCACATTCATGCATGTGTGTTTTATCTGTGATAGAGTTTAAACTCAAGGACTTGTGCATAGTAAGCTTGTATGTTCCTGGTTATCTTACTAATTTTCCGTGTGACTATACCTATTGTGGACAATGGACATTGAATTCCCCTACTATTATACAGCTGCCTCTTTCTTCTTCAGTTCTATTACTAATCGCTTTATCTGTTCTGGCTCTCTGATGTGGAGTGCTGCATGTATAATTATACTTGTTACATGTTCTATTGAATAAGTCATTTGTTATTGTTATTATGACATTTTCTCTTGTGACAGTTTTTGGCTTCAAGTATGATGTAAGTATAATCACTGATGTTCTCATTTGGTTATCATTTGCGTACAGTATGTTTTTCCATCCCTTTGTTTTTAGCCAATTATCCTCAAAGATAAAATGAGCCTCTTGAGTGGCTTATGATTGATTCTTGTCTTTTCATCCATTTGTTCATTCTCTGCCTTTGATTGGGACATTTAGTCCATTTAACATTAAAATTTTGCTAGGAGAACACTTCTGCCATTTTATTCACCATTTTTGTCTGGTGCTTGCTTTTGTTTCTTCCACTCCTCGTTTGTTATTTGATGTTTTTCTGCAGGGTTATATTGATTCCTTTTCTTTTGTGTATCTGTAGTATATATTTTTCTTAGGACTCTTATAAATCATGTACACTCATGTACAAAAAAACTATGCTTTTACTGTTATATATACTTTATTATTCATATCACAATTTATCTCTTTATATTGTATGCTCATTAGCTAATTTATGATTATTTTAATAATTTTGTATTTTAATTTCTGTATTTAAGTAGAACTTGACTTATATACCATTATTATATTAGCAAATACAGTATTGTGTATTTGTCTATGTATTTACCTTGACCAATATGTTTTAGACATTACTTATTGATGTTTCAGTTTCCCCAGTTCTGCCCAGGAATCTGGTCTTACCCGTAGCACTTAACACAGAAGGCTATGAGGTAGGTACTGACATCACTGATGACAAGGAAGATAAACATTTAGTCAGTCGAATGGCAGGCAAAATGCTCACAGCAGCCTGAAAGTGGAATGAATGGTGTTTAATGTTTAATTTGGTCCTGAATAGCATGGAATGCTCTCATCACAAGCTAATAACTAGAAGAAATCAAATACTTGATGTCTCTCTTTGAGTCTGGTCTAGAATTTCTCCCATGGTTAGGGGAAAATAGCACAATTAGGTCCTATTTCAAATGATAACAAATAGGCTGATGATGAGGATGACATTAAGAGCCCACTTCCCCTCTATCAACAAGACAATCTCATTTATACTGAGAATATAATTGTCTCTATCAAACCTAGTGGCCAACAGACAGGTATATAGAAGATCGTTAAACAAAGATAGAAGATATATATAGAAGATCTTAAAACAAAGAAACTCCCTGGAAAAACAGACATGCTGCAAGGAGCTAAACCCTTTCTAAAAGACTACCTTGGCCTTTGGTTTCCTGGACCTGCTCAAAGGGAAGGCAGACAAGCTAGAAGAGTACACTTCTACCCAGCACAGCCCATCCCAGTGCTGTTTTCCATCTGAGCCATACCATCCAGCACTCAAGTTGTCCAGTGGCAACCCCCCTCCAACTATACCACTACGACCACAATGTCACCCCTTGCATACCGATGGAGAGCAGTACTGAAAGAATGTCAAACTGATTTTTTATACCTTTCTTTTTTGTTTGTTTGTTTCAACTGGACATGACTTGGCGCAAACAGCCATTCAATGTATTTACCTGTGCAGTAATCACCCATAGATCTTTCTGAAGCTACCACAGAAGAAGCACCACTTGCTGGTCTGGTGGCCTCTGTTCCACATCTGAGAAGAGTCCTAAGGATGAGTTTCTGCTTTGACTACCTTAAGCTTCTTGAGGTTCACAGTTTTTCCACCCAGAAGAGTTGTTCCCATGATGGACACATCTCCTGAGAAGCTGGAATGACTGGTTAGACCAAAGCTCCCCTACTCTCCTCAGGAAACCTGGCCAGCAAGCGTCCGCTCCTCTAGCTTCAGGAAAACATCTTCTCTCCAATTTCATGTCTCAGCTTAGGATGTTTCATGCATATGTCATTGGGATGAGCAAGCTAGACTGTCTGGGGATAGAACCCAAGAACTCTTAAGGCAGTCAATCTACCACTAAGCTACATCTTAAATACGGATATATTTTGTTTTCTTTTTTGTAATGCTTTCTTCCCTCATTCCACCTTGTCTTTTTCCTTTTGCCTTTTATTTTTCACAATTTAGAAAGCCAATCACTGATAGCATTCAAGAAAGATATGGTCCACTCCAGACCCAGAAAGAAAGGATAACTAAGAACTACAAGGTGTTAAAAAAAAAAATTCCCCAAATTTCAGAAAAATTTTCCTTCATAATACATTGTATCTTTGGTCGGGACTTTTTCCCCCTTATGTCAGTCACATTTCTCTAATCTTTGTATATTAAAAATATGACCATTCACATTGTCTTACACTATAAAAAAAAAAGATGTATCTTTAAAGGTTCTTTTGTTCGGCTTCACTACATTTTCCTATTTTTGTCATCTTCTCTATCTAACAAACAACTAAAATTAACATATTTACACATATAACAAATCAGTATAAATTCATGGTGACCTGATTTTTCCAACTTTCTTTTCCTCCACAGGAATAAATGAAGAAGAAGAAAAGAAAAAAGAGAAAAGCAAAGAGAAAATCAAATTGAAGAAAAAGAGGAAAAGGTATTTTTAACAGCATATTTATAAAAATAAAGTTACAATGTTAGTCCAAAATGATTATAAAATTTTTTATGTATTAATATTCAACAGTTGTAGTTTTATACCAGTAACTAAATTTTTAAATTGGACACATGTCTAAAGTCTTCATGTACAGTTTATTCTCATATAGATGAAGCTGGAACTTAAATAGTACATGTCTACTATTAATAGAATCCGTCAAGCTAAAAATACCTTCAGATTTTTCAGAACCTTTACCAGCTACCTGTGAATTTTACTGTTAACTTTTTAACAACTAACTGACTAATTGATCAAGAGTAGTAAGAATCAATATCTTCTTTGATTAATAACTACAGTTTCATTTGTTTATATGATTATAAATACACACATATTGACATTGCTTAGAGCACTTGGTCATATTTACATCTGGTGTGGACCTAGTTCTCACTAAATTTATAGCTCCTATAATTCAGGTATTATGACTATAGTTTTCATAGAGCATTTAATAGCATGTTTTAATCATAGATAATTTATAAAGTAAAAAGGTTTACTTTTTGTTATTGGGAATTAAATAGTAATGTTTTTAACATAACTGCTAGAATCATAGAACTCAGGGTTTCTGACTGGTTTATTGTTGGATAATTTGTGCTAACACAGCAAGGTGAATTGCTTACAGCAAATGAGATTATTATCTTCCAAATATCTTCAGATATTTTCATTTTATATTAGACCATTTATTCAGATCTCTCTATTTCAAGCCTCTCAGAACTTAGGGCCTGAAACTAAATTAACTTTTCTATGCATGTAGAGATAGTGCCATTTAATACCAGAGCTTAAAATTCTGCCTTAAAAATGAGAATCCAGGAATGAGCAAGCCAAAAATAGACAACTAATAATCATCTAAAAACAAGGAAGAAGCTATAATCAGAATCCAAGGGGTCAAGTCAAACAAGGTATTTAAAACAGGAAATGAGACAAACTTAACAAAAATAGAGCTAAGGCAGAACCACAAGACTAGATGAGAAGATAAGCTTTGCCAATGGTTGAAGTCCCAAGTAGATAGACAGACCAGACAGAGAGCACAGGAGTAAAATGAAGGATAGCTCTGAGTGGAAGTTCAAGACACAGTTCCTTAGACACAGAATCACTTGAAATCTTGTGGTCATATATGATTGCTTTCAGTCTGGGTTTACCTGCTGAAATTTAGGTCAATAAGCTAGCTAAAGACACCTGTGTTATTTTAAGTGAACTCAGTCTCTGACTTGTCACATGTTTTTGTTTTGAGTGTAGTTAGAATGTTAAACACCACTTAACATAAATCTACAAATGACTTTTTCTTTTTTCATTTCTTTCTATTAGCAGTGCAGGAATTCTATTTTTTTCCCATTTCTTGTCAGATTGATATTAGAAAATAAAGTCTGATAAAAAGCCAACCTCACTCATATCTGGAGTAGTTAAAAGAATCCTCTCTGCATCTAGCAGAAATTATTTTGCAATTCAAGTGTTCATTGTATCACTCTGCATGTAAAGAAAGCCCTATGTTAATGTGAAAGATCAAATGAGTTCGAAATGTGCTTTTATTTTGTTAATTTTCAGCTTTTATATGGAAGCACAATTGCAGTCTTTTATATGTGCATATAATTGCATCGTTTGTGGTTCTTGTAAGAAAATATGTTAACAAGTTAGATATACTGTGTATATAATGGAGGTTGAAGAATAGTGCTTTGTTTGTCTTTTAAGATTCTGAAGGGTACTACAGCATGAAAAAAAAATGAAAATCATAGGAAAAGAATTTCATCTTTACTGAATTGAAAATTCACAGTTGAACACAATAGAGGTGGTAGTGTTGTCAAGTTTCTGTGGCCAAGCACCAAAAACTCTGAATTTAGCACCTGAAGTGAAAACAAAGCACATTTTGAGCTTATGCTTATATCCCCTTTTTATTCCAAGAGAAGTTATGTCAGCTAAAATCCCACTTAAAGTTACCTAATCAGTTATAAATTTTCAGTGTATGTTATTGCCCATAGGTCTTATTCCAGTTCCACTGAAGAGGACTCTTCAAAACAAAAGAAACAAAAATGTCAGAAGAAGGAAAAGAAAAAAGAAAAAAAGAACAAATCAAAAAAAGGGAAACATCACAAAAAGGAAAAAAAGAAGAGAAAAAAGGAAAAGCATTCTTCTGCCCCTAATCGTTCTGAATTCAGTAAAAAGTAACTGAAACTGTAACCTAAGTCGTGAAATTTAAAAATTCATTTGCTCTTCCTTGGAACGTATTGTATAATTATGCTTTGCAGTAAATCCCCCGCTTTTCCGTATGTATATTTTTCATATGTAGAACCATCATCCCTCTGGCTTTATGTCAGTCTTGTTACTTAATAGCCATACTTCAGGACATAGATATTTGTACATACAAAACACATTTTTAGTATTTGTGTCTCTGCATGTTGTCTTATTTTTTGTAAGCTGATTGTGAAATGGCTTCCCTGCTCTAATCTAGCAGGTAAAAGCTGCTGAATCAAGTGTCCGCCTTCCAGTGAGGAAGCTAGCTAGGAGGTAATAATGTGCTCTTGATGAAATTTTTAAGAGCTTTATGTACTATGATGTAATGTAGAAAGATAGTGAAATTCTTAAATCTCTAGGATTTTTTTTTTAACTATCATAGGAGACAAGGCTTTACTGGGTTTGAGTAATACTTTTTAAATGAATGGTATCTGTAGGAAGATAGGGAATTTATAATAAGTTTGTTTTACACAATGCCAAGTTTCTAGTACCTGCCTCCTTTGTTTTTTGTAACAATTGAAGCATTTCTTCCTGAGACTAGTTCATCCTGTTAGAAAGTAGCAATGTGGGTCAGGATTTTAGAATGGACTCCTGAATTGTGTGACAAATGTGCCATATTGGCGTCTTACAGTGATACCTCAAGCACAGAAATTTTGTTTAGGAAGACAGGAAAATCTTTATTAGAAATTATTTTTACTGTATTTAGTATGTAAATTTTATGAGGCTTTGTTAGTAAATAGTGTGGAGATATTTTATAAATGTTATTAGCACATATACTTCTTTGGTCTGAAATGATTTTTAATTCTGAAGGAAGTTTCATACTGAACTCCTGATTTCATAAATAACCAAGTTGAAGTGTTGCCTCTTTTTCACTTCTGTCACAGATCTCAGTAGCAAGGGCAAAAAAAAATTCAGAATTTAAAAAGAAAAAATTCAGAATTTTATTGTCCTTTTCAAAATTTAAGAGCCAGGGAGTTGTATCATGAAAGCCTTTATATAATAATTTTATATAAATGTGCATTTCCAAACACTTGTTAGCAGATATAGATGTTTACCTTTTTCATTTCATTGTGATAGTATTAATTAGTTTAACACCTTAGTATCCTTGATGCCCAGTAAGTTTGATACATATTGTGCTGTAGCAGCATTGAATGTCAACCTGTTATCATGACATAGCACCAACCATGACAAGTACCTACTGTGGTGCACTTGTAAACTTCCAAATTGGTAACTTGCAAATATGGCTACAGTTAAATTCATGGTGGTGAAATCAGATAAGTACATTTGGCCTGCCTGGCTTGTAGGTTTTCTGATTCTCCTTCCCCCTGGACCCCTGCTGGCATGCCCTGAGTAAGACAGAGGAGTCTCACTCACCTCCTCTTAATATACACATCCTTGGGAGTCTGAACCCACATTCTGTCCCCACATTGCAGCCATGCTTCTTGCTTTCCAGTCACCTAATTTACTGATTTGGCTCCTCAAAAATGAATTCTTCTGTTTCAATTATATTTGATTACACCTTTGCTAATTTTATGAAAATACAGTTCTTTTGTTCAAGATTTACATAAATAAGTAAATATAAATAAGGAGAGCTTTTTCCACAATGATTATAGCATGTTTTAAGAGATGACCTCTATCCCCCTGGTTGTGAGATGATTTATATTGTCAGATGGTTAGTGATAGTAGTTACAGTGAAAATTTCATGAAATTAGTTCATAAATTTTACTTTTAGTAATTGTAAAGATTATAAATTGTCTCATGTTTTTTCCTGAATGATAATACAGTAATTCCAAATACTTATATAAAAGTAAGCCCTTTTAACTAATACAGTACAGAAAAGTTCTAATGGATCAGTAATTTTTCTCCTAGAAATAATAGAATTATTCCCTGGTAGATTTCCTGTAATATCAGCAAGGTTTATGAAAAATCTCATCTGAATAGGCCATTTATTTTTACTAAAGTAAGATGATGTAAGTGGGATTGGATGCAAGTCTCACTAATACAGGAAGAGTTTTAACATTTCTTCCTAGGCAGTATGTAACAGGAAAAACTAAATTTAAGGGTAATAATCTAGATGTCTTGGCCATTTTAACTGCTTGTATAACCCTCAACAAAGTGATTGAATTTTCCTAGACCTTCTTTTCCTTTAAAATATTGTACTTATCTCAAGATCATGTCTGGTCTCTAATGTATGTAGTCATTGATATTTTTATAAAATCTAAATAGTATTCATTTTAGAAGTTACAGTTAGTATTCTATAGTAGTAAAGTTTAAATTTGTTTTTTAGAAGTTGCTAAATCCATTGATTTCTTTAAGCAGACTATGATATTTGGTTTTGTTTTTAACACCCAGTTTATGTCCTTTTTCATGAGACAGAATATATTTAGATTTCCATCTGTAAGCAAACTAATGATCACTTTGAAAATACTATTTCTAGGCTGATGGGCTTGCTCACAATTTCCCTACTTCTTTTCTCTGTATTATCTGTTTTCTAAGAATTCTCAGAGGTATTCTCAGTCCTTTACACTTAATATTCTCCATTTACATCTTTAGTTCATTGTGGCCAAAGCAACAATAAATGAGAAGTAAAAACACCTCTGTGTCTGTACTTACTATTCTGTCTTAAGTTATATTCTTAGCTACCTTCAGTTGCAAAATTGGTGAAGGAGTTAATAATGTTGATAAAAATGCCAGTGAGTCCACTTCAGCAAGCATTTACCTAATACCTGCAATGTAAACACAGGTAAGTGGTAGGGATAGTTATATATAAGACATTCCCCTAGGGAGTTCACAATCTAGGTAGGAGAAGAAACACTGGAAAGTGGCATCATACAATAAGTTCAGTAACTGACGTGAACAGGGGCTCAAAGAAACAGAGGTTTTAGAGAGTAATGCTTGGATTGCAGTATGGTTGAAGATGGAGTAGAGAGAAGAGGGAGCTTGGCATTTCCTAACAAAATGAGTGCAAATTGTAAGCAATCTGGCGTTGCTACTCTGTCATATGTAAGGCAGGAGGATGTAAGAATCATGGTTTCCATGTTATGTTCTAGGGGTATAGAGGATCTCTTGTATCCCATAATGAGGATCTTGGGCTTTTATTGGCTTTTGATTTCATCTATATTATAATCCTAATCTACCGCTTTAAAAAGATGAAAATGCTATTATTAGAAAAGATGAAAATGCTATTATTAGAAAAGTTTCATAGAAAATAATTTCACTTTATGCTTTATTATTTGTATCATTTTGTGGACTGCTCTTCTAAGTGCTAATTGTGTTTATCAAAAATTTGCAGTAATTCATATTGTCTAAAAGTTACTACAACTCTACTGTGTTCTTTACCAGACCCATTTTCTCTAAATGATAATTACACGTGCATTTTTGGTGTATTTTGCTAGCTTATTTTTACGGACTTAAATTTATGTATTTATTAGGTCCAAATAAATCATTTAAAGCAGAATATATTTTTCAATGTGTATACTCTGCTGTAACAATAAGGCTTGCTTTAGTATTTTGTCTCAGTTTATGAATCACAACTATAAAGATAAACCAGTTGGTGCATGGTGGGTGCCCAGGGCTGCTTCCTCCAGTAACCAAGAGAGAAGCATCTTCAGCAGGAAGAACATCCAGGACTCTGGCTGATCCCTAGACCTGGATTCAAACTTCCTGGACAATTGGTGACCAAGAACAGTAGATTTCTTGGACTACTGCACAGCAACTCCAATTGTTAAGCCCAGAGTCTTGACCTCACTGGTCTTCTCTCAACTTCTCTAAAAGTACAGAGTGTAACCAAACTAAAATTGGGATGCCTCTTCTGCAGCACAACCTATGATGCATCCAACCATGTCTAGCCTGTTTTGTCTCTCCCACAAATTGGAAGGAGCTGAGGACAATGAGCATGTTGTTGCTCTAAATTCTGTGTCATTTTGGCATCGCCCTTCCCCTTGAACTGCAAAAGTAGATCCAGTGTTAATCTTTCAACCTAAAGTTTCACTTCAAACAACTTAGTAAAATTATTTTTAGTTGCTGAAGACCATAGCATATTTTCTGAGAACTTAACAGGGTAAAAGATCAAAAGTACTCATGACAGCTCAGAACTTTCACAAAAGTAAAGACCTTTGCTTTTATCATCTCATGAAATGTCATTTTTGTAATGAAAATTATTAACTTTCAAACCACGTATACTCTAAGCAATTTAATCTTGCAAAATTATCCTTTTTTGAATGAGAACTATAACTCAAGTAGTAGGATATCACAATAATTATCCCAAGGACTCTTCTGTCAATATAGACACATAGCTATTGAGATTAATTAATGAAATAAAAATATAATCCTACAGTGATACTAGCCTCATTTTAAGGGCCCACTAACCACATGGGTTTAGTAGCAACCGTATCAGACAATGCAAATATGAAAAGAAGATTTTTATCATCTTGAAAAATCCTTTTCCATAATGCTGGTCCAGAGGGTTCTTGGTAGAAACTTTTACAAGCTATTAAAGAAAAACCTCAAACTTGAATCCAAGAACAGTAGGGCATTCCTTTTTAATGTTAGACTAGAGAAACTGTTTGGCACATTTTGAAAGACCAGTCCTCTGACTAACAAAGCCTTATACAATACAGGAAACCTGTGCAGCAAAGCTGACTTACAATTCTTCCTTTTCTTTTGTTGAAATCCATTGTAAAATCAGATCTAAGTTCTTACAATAGAAATTATCTTTATAGATAAAAACTTTTTAAGGCACATATAATTTGCAGAAATGACATACCATGGAACTAAAGAAACTAGTTTTATAACTTGCAAACAGATTCTACAGGAAGTTTATCAGTAAAGGATTTTTATTAAGGTTGCCCTTGAAACACAGAAAACATTGTATAGATTATGCAGTGTGATATTTTTGTTATTGAATATTAACTTTATAATGATAATGTGTTTCATGAAAATCATCCAAAGTGGTAGGGACTGACTTTTTTCATTTTTTAAAAATAATGATTTTTAAGTAGTATTATGAAGGTGTTTCAACTCAGCATGTCAGTTTAAGAATACAGAGTATCTTGATCAGTGTCACCATCTTCATCCTCCATCTGTATCAATCCCACTAATCCCTTCAAATTACCTAATACTATTTTCACATATGTACATTGACTACACCCTTCCTCTCTCCATTTGTCTGACAGAGGTTGATTTCTAAGAGACTTAAGACCATGACACCCTAGTTCAAAAGATAATTTCCTCTGAGAAATTGCTTATCTAGTGTCATCACTTATTGAAAAAAAAAACAAATGAACTAAAACATTTGCCTGTTTTAAAAATTGTAAAATGCTGGTAGTGTGATAATCTCATTTGTTGCTTGCATAATTGGTAAATTCATTAATTTCTTCTGAAGAACTAGCATAATTTCCTGCAATACAGAAACACCTTAACAAATAAAAGTAAATGAATATAGATGACAATCTATCAAAACCATATTGTTCAATGAATTAATCAAAAATGCAGTTGTGTTTTATGTTGTGAGTGATGAATATTGAAAAAGCAATATTTGAAACTATAGGTTGAAATGCATTCTTTATTCTTCTTGCTGCAGCTCCAATAATCTTTTAAAATACAGGCTTTTTCACTAATATGCAGTATTGATTTGTGTTGTATCTGTTGTTTTTTCTTGAATTATATCATCAGCTTCATAGGATGTTTCATTTGTTGAATTTGATGTTGCATGTGAAACGAAAGGTCTTGTTTTTGTATTTAAGTAGTCTGCAAATACACAAACAACAGGACATTATTACTCAAAATTGTGATATAAAAGTTGCTTTTGACGGGCTGGGAAGGTGGCTCAGTGGTAGAGTGCTTGCCTTGCATGCATGAGGCCCTGGGTTCGATTCCTCAGCACCACATAGACAGAAAAGGCTGGAAGTGGCGCTGTGGCTTAAGTGGTAGAGCACTAGTCTTGAGCTGAAGAGCTGAGGGACAGTGCCTAGGCCCAGAATTCAGGCCCCATGACCAGCAAAAAAA